CTTGTGCAGTCGGATTCTTCGATAAACCTCGAAAGCTATGCCGTTTTTCACAGTTCGTTACACATCATTAAAATGTAAACCTACCAAATGGATTGTAGTTATTCAACTGTGAAAACCAATACAGGTTTTGCCCTCCAAATTAATCTTTTTGTTGATCGTATTCTCTTTGTTGCGCCCGAAACCAATCCTTTTGTAGGCGGTATTCGGCTAATTGCGAATTAAATTCATTTATTTGTAATTACTTGTACTAAAAATTATATTAAACTTAAAAATTGAATAAAAATACCGTCAACTTCGATATGCGAAGGTGTTAATTCGATTTTCAAGGTTTTATCCATCTTTTTGCAAATCAAATCCACCCTTTTACACATCAAAGTTGACTTGTCTCTTATTCATTTTTTTTCAATTTAATATGAATTTTATTACAAATAATTACGAATAAGAGTATTTCATTTGTCAAAGGGAGAATTACATTTGTAAAAAGGTGAACGAGACCTGTAAAAGGACTCCAATTCTTAGTGCAAAACCTGCAAAACATTTACTGCCGCGTGCACTCTAAGCGCTCGTTACTCCGGCGTTAATCCTAATTACTGAAAAGCGATTTAAGAAGCTGTAATTTGCATAGAGATCCATAGTCCAACGATCAATCTTGGTACCGACGGATCGACCTTCGTTAACGATCCGAGCACGGATCGTAATTTTAGAAATGATAGCGCTAGGCTGTGCCGTCGCGGTGCTCGAACGCTTGTATCTCTCTGTGTCGTTGTCTCTTCTCCTTATGAGAACGAAGGACGCCTGTTCCCTCCTTCCTGCGTCCTTTTGTGCTTTCTGGGAAACGTGTGGTGTCGGCTTGTGTGTAATACGTCGCGGTTGTCCCCGTCCGCCGATTGGTCGCCGCGATAATGGCGAACGCGAGGCTCCGTCGCTACGTGAGTTGCGACTCGAGCCGAGTCATTAATATCGTCGTATCTCGTTGAACGTGTGCGCACACTTTCGTTCCCGTCGATGAAATCCGTCTGGTGACTGACAATCGGTTTTTCTATCATGTCCCGGCGTGACATCGGACGCGCACCCGCTCGAATGCGACGACCGTTTACATCGCTAATTCACTTTCGCCCGTATGTGGACTGTGATTTCCAGTTTTGAATAACGAGCCTCTCGAATACGAACTTATCTTCCTACACGGGGCCCCAACGTATTCGGAGCAAAATACTATAAAATACTTTGACAAAACATACTTCTCGTTCTGTTTTACCGTTTACGAGCGAGGATTTCTTAACTCCTTGAATGATCCACGAAATTCAGGAGTCTAATTTAAAAATTGCCTATCTTTATTCTGTGTTATTAAATGATTCGTCGAGAAACGTATTTTTCTTTATTTAATGAAAAATTCAGAAATGGGTAAATTAAATGGCGTACCAGATATTTTATTCGGACACGATCTAATTTTTAATAAATATTATTGACCAAGATACGTACCGAGAATATTTTCCTCGGTGATCTAGGTTGTGCATCAAAGCCTTAATTAATGGGAAAAATCATGTCGACATTCGTCCTGAAAGGGTTGAGCCCCGTTGAATCTCTTAGTTCTGTTTGATCGAACATATATCAAAGAACATCTCAAGGATCAAGCGTAGATACTCTGTAGAGATAATTGCATGCAAAAATTGTTTTAATGTAACAGCATTAATACATTATTAGCCTACATTTGTCAGGAGTCTGGACGATTATAGATTATAGACGGTAGCGTATACACCTAGATGACAATCAAAGTGTCAACTGTATTACTCATGCTAGCGTGGTAAACCCCAGAAGATTTATTTCGCTGAACCGCTGATAGCTTCATAACGTCATAGTTTCATCAAGAAACGCTATCGAAAGCCTTGTTTCTCACGCTCTGCGAATTCTGCTTCTTGTCCACAACACAGACAAAAGTAAAATCATCCGATGAATGCGCGAAGAAGCGTCCGCGATACATAGAAAGATCTACGTGTCTCAAATAAACACGAATCGTGATCGATAACAAAAAATGGAGGCTCCCGATTCTCCTCTCGTTTCAGAGCCACTAAATCGGAGGAAATATTAATTTCAATTAGCCATCGGCGTCGTACACGGATCTCGTTCAACCCCTAGCAACAAAGTATATCTAGTGGCACTTCTGAAGCCACTCGGCCGCTATTTTCGTACGTCGGAGAGTAGTCGAGATCGGGCAGGACGTGTAAACAGAATTCGACGATCGTTGATTACACGGGGAAGGGGGATAATCGTTAGGAGCGTCGCGATAATTCATAGTAATTTTAGCGATGATGATGCCGGCGATAATGATGCGCGTACCTTGAAACGTCATTGCGCGAACGATCTATCTGGCTCGTGCGATAGCTTATCGGCTATTGAATCACGGATATTTTTATGGGAAGATCTCGTCGGATTAAGCCATCCGGTGGTATCGCGATCAAGAGAAGGGAAAGATAACATACCTTTCCATCGGCTCTTTGTTTCTTCCTTTCTATCGCGTTCTACATTTCTTTCTGTCTCCGTTTCTATCTTTCTACGCTTTTATTTTCCTATGTTTCTCTTTTTTTCTACACATTTTTTCTTTTTACATTTCTTGTACTTTCTTCCTTTCCATGTTTCTTCCCTTCTACCTTTCTTTCTTACCGCGTTTCTATTTTTCTACGTCTCTTTCTTCCTACGTTTCTCTTTCTTTCTACATCTTTTTCTTTTTTACATTTCTTGTACTTTCTTCCTTTCTTTGTGTCTTCTCTTCTACATTTCTTTCTTACTGCGTTTCTATCTTTCTACGTCTCTTTCTTCCTACGTTTCTCTTTTTTACATTTCTTGTACTTTCCTCCGTTCCATGTTTTTTCTCTTCTACATTTCTTCTTTCTTTCTACGTTTCTCTCTTTTCTACATTTTTTTCTTTTTTACATTTCTTGTACTTTCTTCATTTCCATGTTTCTTCTCTACTACATTTCTTTCTTTTTACGTTTCTCTTTTTTCTACATTTTTTTCTTTTTTACATTTCTTGTACTTTCTTCCTTTCCATGTTTCTTCCCTTCTACATTTCTTTCTTTCTACGTTTCTTTCTTCCTACGTTTCATTTTCTTTCTACATTTTTTCTTTTTACATTTCTTGTACTTTCCTTCTTTCCATGTTTCTTCCCTTCTACATTTCTTTCTACGTCTCTTTCTTCCTACGTTTCACTTTCTTTCTACACTTTTTTCTTCTTACATTTCTTGTACTTTCTTCCTTTCCATGTTTCTTCCCTCCTAAATTTCTTTCTTTCCACGTTTCCATCTTTCTACGCGTCTCTCTACCAAAATGTTTTCTTTCTGAATTTATCCTTATCCACATTTTTGTACCTTCATATCTTTCCCTTTTGTTCTTTCTCTTTCTGTTCTCCTCGTTTTTTTTCCTGACTGGGTTGCGTTGCGCAAGTTGCCAGCCATCGAACGAAATCGTTTATTGAAATCGGCTGTTGTCCAACGTTGCTCAACGTCGATAATACAACGAACTTCTTTTATCCGGGCAACACGGAACGAACACGGTGGCCATCTAATGCGCAGTCCAGCTCTCGAGGGCGGGCGGTCGACTCGTTCCACAGCTGCCAGGGAAAAACCATTTGTTTCCCAACCGTTTCATGATCTTGTCGCACCTGGCCGAGCCGAGCGTTTACGCTGTTGCACGCTCGTGCTGTGTGTGCAGCCGTTGCTTGTGCTCCGTGCTACCGGTAGCTACAGATAGACGGATAGCTAGATAGATACATAGTCGCAGAGTATTAATGGGCGAGCTTCTCTCAACGTTTCGGCGGCCGTCGAGTTCGCTTGCTTTCCGTGAGTCACCCCGATGCTCTTACTTCTGGGATCGTTGACTTCTTTTTCTTGCAACGGACCACTCGGTTCTTGAGCAATCGGTGTATTCTATGACACATGTTCCTGTTAAGGAAAGTCTGAAATCTGTACCTTAGGCCGGAAAACTACATGCGTGCATCGAAGAGAATTTCGTCACCAGACTGCACCATACGCGTTCAGAATTAGAGAAAAATTAGCTTCGCCAACTATTTTGTCATTTCTTGTCATGTTAATCGCCGAATGTCAACTCTAAAAATTGCCACGATATCAAAGCCATTTAATTGACGCTAAGTTTGCAGAACGCGTCGAAATGTCGCATTCCGAGTTGTTTAATTTACGATTATCGCAATTATGAGGATACATTTGGACGGAATTTATTCAATAAGTATGTTTCATTGAATGTATATATTATGATAAAGAACGCTACAAATTAAAAATAAGCAATATAATAATTAAGCAATATAAAGTAGCTACTAAGGAAACTAGGAAGAGTTAAAATTTATCATAGAAAATATGGTTCACGTTCTAAAAATCGTAATAACATCCAATTTGTTCAATATAATTACGATCAAAATGCGTATTAACACGTTGAACGCCACGTCATCCATATGTGGGTGATGGCTATGTTTCCGCAGTCTTCGTCCAATTAAAACAGGACTTTGGAGGTAATTCATAGTAATTTTATTTGTAACACAACTATGACGAGTATAGACAATATAAGATAACAATAAAGTACAAAGTAAAGAAAAACAAACATTAAAAATATACTTATACTAACAAATTATAGTTATATTTAAATTTGTTTTTAAAATATTATAACATCTTATTATAGTTAGAATGTAATTCGTTGAAACATTGCAAACACAATTTGGGTGACTCTGGACACTCAGGACAATACGTTATAGTCTTTTGTAAATTTGTTTGTTGCTTCGTGGCGCCGGGAGAAACTCTACCGATTCACGCTGGGCGTTCAACGTGTTAAAACCGGCTTAAAAATTTGTGTCACATGTGACCCGATGCGGCACTGAACGCGTCAAACAGTGGATCTTCTAAATCGATGAAAGTACCGTATCTGGTGAAATAGAGGAACGAAAACGACAAGTCCAAAGGATGTTGAGATTAATATAAAACCGTTGTTTGTCATTGCAGTTGGTATCCTTGGACGGTCTGCACAGCGGAGTGCCGACCAGAACGACGCCGACGCTGACGCCGACGACGCTCCGCAGTATCGAGCAGACGTTCTTGGAGCTGACCAGCGAGTCAGCGTCGCACAGCCGCGAAGCCGGGTTCGTGCCGCCGCTGGTCGAACCATCGCAGCCGACCCCGGCGCAGACCCAGAACACGGCGGCGCATCACATAATCACGACCAGCGCCGCCCCGGTGGCAGCCAACACCACCCTCGTGGAGTCCCATCAAACACAGCCGCAGCAGCCAGCCAGGCGCAACATGGGCGGCAGAAGGCCCACGAGAACGATCGGGATGACCCCGGAGGAGGAGGAACGGCGACAGATCCGCCGGGAGAGGAATAAAATGGCAGCAGCGAGGTGCCGCAAGCGAAGAATGGACCACACCAATGCCCTGCTAGAAGTGAGTATCCCCATTTCCATCTCCGGATCTTGATTCTTTTCTATCTCAGCTGATCTTCTCCAGGACGTGATCTTTAGCAGCTTGGAGTACCTGTTAACAACAGCTTGTTTTTAAAAGAAAACGAAGGCAGATGGCTAGCTTGATGTTGCTCTGCTTTCAGTTAATTTTTGATACGGTTAAGAGTTCAGCGTAGCCTCTCAAGATATAGTTTCGCCAACGGACAAATCCCAGATGACGGCTGAGAACTCGAAGTTGTGCACATACTGATGACACGTGTTTAGAAAATTAGGGATCTTTAAGTATCGGAGGCAACTCAAGATCGTCCTGTTATCTTAAAGAACAAGGGTGGTGGTCCTTTCTGATGAGAGGCCCATGATCGATCTCTCGGCACTTGTCCCAGAACCGTTGAGGAATGGGATCCTAAATTTTTCTAACGAATTTTCAAATATACCCTCGAGATTAAAAACAAAGAACCAGTCTAACCAATGTTGTTCTTTTTCCGCAGGAGACTGAGGGTTTGGAGCAGAAGAAACAGAACTTGCAGGAGGAGATCCACCAGCTGCAGCAGGCCAAAGAGGAGCTGGAATATATTTTAGAGGCCCACCGCGCCGTTTGTCGACGTCACTCCGCGTCTCCCCCGGATGTGAAGCCCGTGATAAAGTCAGACCTGGCGACCGAGGATCAATTCACCGAGAACGATAACACGATGGGCAAACAGGACACGTTGAACGCGAACATGAGACCGAACCGACCGAACTCGTTGCCGGTCGGATTCGACAACAACAACCGACCGAACTCGCTGCCGATCTTCACCGAGCCGAAAGAGAGACCGGACACGTTACCGTTCAAGACGGTAGAAACACCGGCATTCATGAAACCATCGATGGACGTGGCGGGAATGCCGATCACAACCCCAACCAGCGGCATACCGTTCAATTTCGAGTCGTTGATGGAAGGCGGCACTGGTCTCACGCCAGTCTCAACGCCCATGATCCCGTCCTGCTCGTCGCAGCAGAGGAACAACCTGTCCGCCGTAGATCTTAGCTCCCCAGATGCGAATCCACCGAAGCTGGTGAGCTTGTGACGCCAGGAGGACCTCGAGTACGGATCAAATGAAGACGATCCGGAATGAATGGGGTCACGTCTCTTGCTATTGATACTTGTGCGGATTAATCGTAGAATTGTACAGAATACGAGAACGAAGAAACCGGAAGAGAAGGAGAATGGTGATGATGAAGATGATAATGAGGAGGAAGAGGTACCATGACGCGAAAGGAACCTTGACGAATTTTTTTTCCACATCACCCAGTTGTTGCCATACGTCGACTATCGCGAGAAAACTATTGATCTTGTTGGGCAGTATTAAACGGGAGACCCTCTGCAACGTATTTGTCTTTTTCCTTCATTGTTGCGTGTTCTGCTAGCGAAGAACCGTGCGTTCCCCGCCCAAAACCGGGCAACGCCGCGTAACCGGATGCATTTTTATTAAAACGATATTGGAAACATTGATTCGCTGTTTGTTTAATATAAAACGGCTCGACGAGAAACGGCCGCTGCGAGTCGCGTGTCGTACAGCGGAAGACAGATACGATGCAATATAAGGATGTCGTTGCACTCTCTGTACCACTGATCGCATTCGACGAGCGCGCGATTCGCGAAAAACGGTTACCCTTGTCATGAGATTCTGGTACCCTATTTGCTTTTTGATCGATCATCGAGCAAACTGTTTTCTATTTCTTATGGTCCAATGGTGAGGAAATTTTCGATTCGTTTTCGAGGCTGGAGAGAGATAAAGAGAGTTTTCTTGTAGTCGCGTTTCAGAGGCGTGCATCGGTAGCCGGGGAGTATGTTCGTCGAGCGAAGTATTCTTTTTTTTCTTCATACGAAGCTCAAGAGAAAAATACGGCGATCTCAATGCGACAAGAACGTTTCAAAATAGAAAATTAATTATGTAACTCGGTGAAAACGTGAACGAGCACGACATTTATCGAACGAGTATCTGAAACAGCTGGTTCTTAACGAAATTCCGAGTACGCTGTATTTTTGACCCTCTCGGGCAGACAGTCGCGGACGATAACGGTTATCTGCACGCGCAAGTGATATGTAATTGTATTTAAACTCGTAACGTTTCACGCAAACAAATTAGGATGTAACGACGAGCATATTAATAAGATTGTCACGTTCTTTTTTTTCTCTTTTTTTCTTTCTTTTTATAAGAAATCGAATTTAAGTCGAAGAAATTTTATACTATTACGGTAATTGTCCACGGAACGAGAACCGTGTGCAAGATTTTTTAAGGCAATCGATTATAGAGCTCAAAACCTTACGTAGAATAAGAACCATCGTCTTTGAATTGCGCCCAACCATCCGATTGTGTGTGTCGCACAATTCAAAGGTAATTCGAGCGGCTCAACGGCGACGAGGTGTACACAGGGTGTGCCTAAGTTGTTGCATCATCGTTGCAAGGAGTTATCTGGTAGCACGATTTAGGAACAGTGTACAGGATCTATGTACAGTAACTGTACATTTCATTGAATTTTTGCCTTGGAACTCGTCCTCCGAGCCGTTCCTATGCAATATTACGAGAAGATTTCTGTGCAACTGACATGTTTGCAAATCTCATCCCATTTTTAACATTTAATCCCTCCATACATATAATAATATATACGCATACATATATTTTACTATGTATGACATTTTTGCATGATCTTAAGCAATATTAATATATTTATGCGCGATGGTCGATTGCGAGGCCGGTCGTGAACTTTTGCAGAACCTAAATCTTTATTTTCTCTCTTGGATCCAAGCTCGTCGAGGATTTGCGTGCCCAACTTCCACGATTCGGCCCCGCAATCGGTGACCACGAACGACGATCATATAAGAAAGATTGTAACGCACCATTGATAATGCTGCAATATATTTTGATTAGATTGAACGATTAAAACATGAAGCTGAACATGTAATTAGTCAAGAATATAACGACGTGTTTCAATCGTACGAATCGTTACTCCATCGCTGTCTTCGTAGTCGTATGCCCGACGAAGACGGTGCTGTTTTCGAAGGTAACCGTACGGTGATACGTGCAAATAATTTTTACGTTAGAATGACCGAATTTACATCTTTGTAAAGTTGAACTGCTGATTTCTTAATACACAAGATTTAAAAAAAAAATAACGTGATAGGTGTTCAAAAGATTAATTGTTTTCCTATCGTCAAGGTTAACCATTTATTTCCAGTTCTGTTAATGTTCTATGTATTTCACACCGACTCTAATAATCTCCTAACTGAACCCTGTGATCCTCTTAATCGCTTCCGCTTCGCTGCTCGAATCCAGCGGTTCGTAGTGATCAAATTCTAAAGAAAATGTTGCGTGGCCTGACGACAGTATCCTCAGCGTTGTCGAGTAGCCTAAGAGCTCGGCTAGCGGGGCAAAGCACTTGATCACCTGTATATAGAACGCACATTAGCATTTTGGGTTTCCAAGGATGGGAAAGCACAAGTAGGTCGTACAGTCGCGTAGAAGTTGGCAAACTATGAGAGAAAATTGTTTAGGAACCAATTAAAATAAACTTCCTGAGACAGATAAAAATATGAAAGGTAGGTCTTGAATTTGATTTACATTATTGACTTACACTAACTAGATATTTGTACATTAATTACATAACTTTTACATACAAAAAAATTATATGGTGCTGCCATTTTAGAATTAGTTAGATCTCTCGGATCACGAGTGCTGTTTTTAAAGTTACTATGGCGAAGGAAACAGCTCCGATGCTACTAGACATATAAATCAGATGCCTAAAAGTCTTAATTACCTTGTTCTGACCGCGTACACCGATATCTTGTATTTCTACCCGCCTCTTCGGGAGATCTCCTAGGACACCGGATGAGTATTCTTCATCCACCACAATCTCCAGCTTCATTATCGGCTCCAACAGTTGAATCGAGCTCTTCTGCATCAACTAAATGTATAATATTTTACAAAATTGGCTAGCTAATCAAAACCAATGGGACACTATCTTTAAAACGTTTTTTTTTCTCAATTTCTCATTATTTTCTCAATATTTTAGTATTTCACATTTACAATTTATCCATAATTATGGATAATGTCCAATAAAGGAATTGCATCGACAAATTGTTGATTACTCTATGTTAAAAAAAATTGACTGGCGTGGGAAAAGCATAGCTACCAGTACGAATTGTTCTTCATATCGAATCTAGCCTCGCTTTTTCGGCAGCGAGGCAGTCGGTAAACAAACAAGCGAACAGAAAGATGTAAATTTTACGGAGTAAATTCACATTAATGATTCCCAATTTGGACAAATAATTTCGAGGTTTAATGGTTGCTGGATATGTCTCCCTACTGTACAGCATCAGCGACAAGCCATTAGAGTACTGGAGCAAACATCAATCTCAGTCGGGTCGTATTCGTAAAATCCTCGATTCAGATTTGCTGGAAAATGTACGTTCATCGACGCAAAGGTTAAATAACCTTATTGCCCGATTAATTCTATGCGGTACTAATTAATATCAACCGGAAACAATTGGCAGGTCATTGAGGTACAGGACTTGGAACAACCTAACGACTATGGAACCTCTATTCTTTGTCCGCCTGATCCGTCACAATTTCTTAATATCGAATTACCGATTCTAGTCATCGTGATAAGAAACCTGAACTTACACTGTCGCTTACAAGTACAGGTAAATAAGATCATAAAATTATATCGGATATAATTGAAATGAATCAGTCACTTGCACTAATTGGTAGGTTTAGTTTTAACTAATACGTAACCGGTTGAACCGCAGGTAGTGGACACCCAAAACTGTCTGCATCATTTTCAATTTACCAATGCGGAATCCGAGAGGTACAACTCCAGGGGTGTAATATGTCGTGTGAGGGTGAAACTAGAAACTGGATGGAACAAATTAGAACTAAATTTATCGCAATTAACACAAACTGCCTTCAATAGCATTTATGCTTTCACGCAGAGACTACAGATATATGGCAACTGCCGTCTTAGGAGGATCTATTTCATAGACAAGCACTATGACCATCAAGAGGTATCTCCTGAACTTTACCATAACTTCCTGGATGCCTACATGTTGAAATGGGGTATCCACGGTGTAGACAAATCAACCCAAACCAATACCAAGAGAACCAAAAGCAGAATTAGAGAGACTAACAATCAAAAGAACTCGACCAAGGTTTTTAACGAAGGCAATGCCTACACCGAAGGAAACACTGATATCAAGGGTACCAAACAGAAACTGATCGATCAGAATTTTCTGCGAAATTTGCAGATCAAGAACGATTTATTGATTAACGACTTCTTCGATCGACAATCTGGCAAGTTACCACGGGCGACAGAATTTAAACAACATGCGAAGTTAAAGCGTTATGCTTTCCGGATGATTGACACGACCCCCAAGTGCTACGATATAATATCAGACGATACATTCAAAAAGATCAATATTCTCAAAACTCTCACGGATACACAGTCACCCAACGAGGAGATAATAAAAAAAGAAGAGACTGCAAGAAGTATGCAAGAAAAATGGCAGCATAGATACTATCTGCGTCACGAAGAGGCGAAGAGCTGTGATCCAATCAAACATAATGTGAAAAGGACCATGCTGGACCGTAAACCTAAGTCTATGTTAATTTTGTCAGAAGCGAAGGATTATAATGAAATTAGAAAAGTTGTACAGCCTAAGAAAGTAAGCTTGACGATCAAACATCAAGATAGCAACATGTTTGTCAAATAAATGCGGAGATATTTACAGTATATGTATTTTCATTTAAAATCAGGAGATATTCTAGTCTAGAATATTATATTTTCGACTAACTTTAAATTCTTCTATGTTTGTACATCATAATATAGAATGTTTAGTATAGAATCATATAGAATCATAAATAGAAGGTATGCATTTTAAAACTGTAGGCTACTTGAATAGCGCATCCTATTAGAGAAGTAAAATTACCTTTCTGATACACTGGGCAACAGCAGCAGTAATGATCGTTGGTGCAGTACCAAATTTGTATTCCAACCAATGTAACTTTACCCCCATGTTTATAACTGGGAAGCTTAGCTTTGGTCCATGCAAAAGAACTGATTGCACACCAGTTTTGACAGCTTTCATTATCCTCAAAGGTATGGCATCAATGTTTTCAATGCAATCTGGTGATCTGTCTAGTAACAAAGGCTGGATTTCCTGATAATTTGGAATCAATGATATGGTTACAGTTACTGAATGTTTACTTTTTCCTATTTGGTATTCAGACGTGATGGTATCTTTAATAGAGTTTGTTATTGTCTCCCTGTAAGCGATCTGCAGTGGTCCTAATTCTGCATCAATTTTAAATTCTGATCTGATTCTTTCTTTGATAACTTCTAGGTGCAATTCACCCATACCAGCAAGCACAATTTGTCCAGTTTCGCTGTCTTGAGTTACTCTTAAACTTGAATCTTCTCTTTCTAGTTGCTGCAGAGCAGAGTCCAAAGCTGCTTGAGTAGAAATTGATGGTGCTTCTATTGAACAAAAGAAAACGGGCTCTAGTATTCTCGAATTGGAAGTAAAAAATGTCTCCACATCTTTTGATTCAATATCTTTTTGTGATGCCAGCTTTGTTTTGGCTCTATTGGCTGCTGATGCATTGGTTGTCACTAAATCACCAGTTCTGGTACTTTTCAATCCTGCTACTGCTGCAATGTTACCATTATTAATTTTTGATACCTCTTCGTAGTCATCTGCACAAGCAACATATAATTTGCTAACTTGTTCAGACACTTCTTTTTGAATGTTATATATTTTTGAATTTTTCTCCATGACTCCAGTGTAAATTCTGAAGAAGGTAATAGGTCCCTTCCGTTCATCATGAACAACTTTAAATACTCTGGCAGACAAACGTTCATCAAAAGAACGATAATACTTTAAAGATTTATTCTTATCAGGAGATGGTAGATATAAAAGGATGCTGTCCATTAAAGGTTGCACACCCATGTTCTTATATGAACTACCTAAGAGTACAGGAACACCTTTCATATTTATAGTAGCCCTGTACAAAGAGTCTATCAGCAATTGTGGAACAATAGTGTCCAAAGACTCTTGTTCAATAATTACATCTGCTAGTTTGTCATCTATGTTAGAAAGTTTATCAGTTAATTGTCTACGCTTCTCAACTGCCATTTCCCACAAACTCTTGTTGTCTTTATCAGATAATTTTTGTTTTGTAAATTTCAAACCCTTATCATCTTTAGCAAAAATCATTTTTTCTAATGTAATCACATCCACTATGCCTTCTAGAAGGCCTTGATGTTTGATGGGAAATTGTATAGGTAGTGCCTCTATGTGTAATTTAGATTCAATAGATTTGACACTTGCTTCGAAATTTGCGTCTGGTCTATCCATTTTATTTACGTAAACAATTTTTGGTATTTTGTATTTATCAGCCTGTTGATACACTGTCAACGTTTGAGCCTCCACACCTGCGGAACCATCAAGTATAATTACTGCTCCATCTAACACTCTCAAAGTTTGTTCTACTTCCATGGTGAAGTCAATATGCCCAGGCGTATCTATTAAATTAATACGGTGATTTTTCCATTCAAATGTTACCGCTGCAGAAGTAATAGTTATACCACGATCGCGTTCTTGTTTCATATAATCTGTCACTGTATTACCATGATGTACTTCCCCCATAGAACTAATAAGACCGGAATAGAATAACATTCTTTCTGTAGTAGTTGTTTTGCCTGAAAAGTCATTATTAAGAATCACTCTCGTGACACATAAATCAGAGATTAATAGGTTATATTACAAACGTATATTAAAACAGAACGAACCGGCATCGATGTGCGCCAAAATTCCGATATTACGGATTTTTGAAACTTCATGTTCTTTATTTTCACTATTCACTTTCGAATTCTTTTGTGCATACCGTTTCTGAAATTTACACCACGAAGTTGTTATTAACCTACGCTTCAACATGACTCTTCTAACCTATTCAGTTACATACTACATAATCAGTCGATACATACACCCATGAAACGATACCACATACGACACTTGATGATAGAAAAATAATAATCGCGAAGTTTATATAATGAAAATACTTAATTTATTTATGATCTAATGAAACATACATTTATTGAATTTTTCTATAAATTACAAATATCTAACTCTAATAGTTTCTTCATCATAATATGTATTAAACTTTCTCCACCTCCCTTTATTTGAAGGATCATAGTACTTTCCTTTAGAACACCTTTTTGGCATTAACCCTGGAAGTAATAGAACAATGTAAATACGCTTTGATGTCAGCCTATCTCTAATCTCAAATAGAAACAAATTAATTATAAATTAATTATTTATTATTATTTTACCTGCACTTTGAGCCATTAAAATCATTGTAGAAATTCTTTTTTGTTGCACTTTGCACAGACCAGTAATTCTACGTGGTAGTATACAACCATCTGATCTTAAGAACTGACTAAGAATAAGAACATCCTAAAAAAGTTTTTAATTTACTAGAAAGTATTAAAAATTAAGATATTTTAATTTCTTAAAATTCGAAAATGAGCTCCTACTGTGTGCTTAATATTGAGACCCGCAGAACACACTGGACAGGCTCCATGTTTAGGTTTTAGGAATAGCTTTTCTTTTTCATCCGGTTTTATTACTGCTTCAATTATTAAATTATTCCCTTCTTTTCTCTCAATAACTGCAAGGAAAATTAACTTGAATGTTTATTCTGTAGCATAGGTTTAGAAATTTAATTCATAGAATCAGGATATACTACAACTAATATTTTCATATTGTTTTTATTAAAAACCAATGGATTTTGCTCACTTTCTTTAAGATAGGTCGTAGCAGACAGTGAAATATTTCGGTTTTGTGTCGGCAATTGTATGTTTCTTCCAATATTTTTAACGAACCAAAACAACGCAGACATTTTGGTTAGGTACTAGGTACGTACGCACTGCAAAAGAAATACAGTATTAAACACATCATATGTATGTACAGAAATGGGACCTATATATTCCTGTACGCTTTTCTTACTCCCTAAGCTAGCGCGCACATTCCCACTATTTTACTGGACTTCCAATCCGCAATGAATCTTGCTTAAGCAGTGAATTGTCAGCCAATCATAGTAGACAAAATTTCCATACCGGCCCTCACTAACAGATCATGCTGCGGCCTCGAGGGTGTGCAGAAATAGATCCAATTACTGAATATTACATAACTGGTCACAGATCAACAGAATATGACTTTTATTCTCACGTTAGGTATGTCATATTCTTCAAGCACAATATGTACTCCATGATTATTATTTGATATGATTTTCAGGTTAAATTTATAGATGTCGCAGAAACGCGACAAATAGTACCACAGACTATAGGAGTATACTTGACACTCGATGTATTATTTTGTTACCAAACATGTGAAGAAGCTTATGCTTATTCATTCGTATTTTATGATTTAGAAACCACAAATACATACGGCGTGTATATTCACAAACGATTCTTTTAAATCTGTAACTGAAACTTTTACGAATTTCGAAATGTGTGTTAACGAAATAATTTTTCGAAATATTTGTGCTTTAAAAGTTTTTCTGTAGCTCGAGTTCTGTTAGCTACTTTTATTTGTACATTAGATCTTAAAGCAGACGAGAAAGTATT